AGGCCTACTCATGCTAGGACAGCACAGGCTTCCTCGTTTGTGATGTAGCCTGTGTATCGCATCTTCATGATCCGACCGAGGCACCCCTGATGAAAAGATCCATTTTTCTGACGATACCAGTCTTAGTTTCTCATGTTTCGCTGACATAGAGTGCAGTAGTAATCACAAAATAGACGAATCTAGATAGCTCGGTATATAGACGACATTGGCCAATTTAGCCGGAAACACAGTTGCAGCTTCACTAGACCGACTTCAAACATCCCTTTCAATATCGCTATCATGAGTGATTACGCTGCTTAGGTGAGCAAATCTGTTGACAGACTTCAAATTATCTTCTCTACATTGATGTTAACCTGCGTATAAGTGGACAAGCCTGCAACGGACTATAAAGATACGATATACGGACCACAACACAAACGAGGAAGTTTTGTGCCGCTCTAGTTGGCATAGCCTCCACGTGATTGTGGTACGGCGTAGAAGTCGATTGGTTGGTCATGTCATATAATATAAGCAGCAGCAGCGGATCCTAAAAATGGCCATGTATTGGATTCCCTACGTGCCAAATGAGGAAGGGTTTCTCCCAGAACACGTGGAGAAAAACATTTGACAACATTTGACCTTGAGGTCGTTGCCATTGAAAGCAACACACCAGATATTGTTGGCCACAGTTGGAACCTCTAGACAAGTTCTGAGTTTCTGTACTGTGAAAGGATGGTGTCAGAGATATTTGTTATATAGCCATCATTACTGTCTGGAAAGGCATGATATGACAATAAATTCGAAAGCTTATATAGGCTTGGTGGGTGTTAAGAATTTCCCCGATTTAAGTGATATTTCCTAAAGGTTGAAAGAATATGGAGCATGTTTGGGTGGTGAATAATCCAGTTAATGGCTAGTTCCGGTACACAAAGTTTGTATTGGTCATACACAGTCAATAAATAAACCCAAATGACTTCTACTGGATCGGCCAAGCCAAAAAGAAAGCTATGAAGTAATGAAGTTGCCACAATTCTTAACTCACCTAGTCGCACGGGTTCACTAGCGCGACCTGTACAGGCCTTCTTATATTCCAACATTAGAGTTCAATTAACGACTCCGATACCATCTAGAACTAGTACTCGCTCGGCAACCCCACCTCTAGTACAGGGTGGGCCAAAAATATGGCTTCACAAGATCACATCCCCAAAAACGAATAGAAAGCTAATGAAGCAGACCAATATCAGATAAGTGTTTATCACTAGTCTCTTATTAAAATAGTACATCGAAACTGAGATCTATAACTTCCTGCTTTCACTCAACCCCAGAGACGACGACAGACGAAGTCGATGGTGCCACGTCGACAGTAAGATCTATGAGTTGACCCCGGCTTTTTGCAAGGTATTTTCGAGATTATTTCAGTTCTTGTTTGGGCCAATGCATGCTTCTATTCCCAAGGTTGACCATACTGAAACATCCATGGCATTTAGGTCAGGGCTCCTAACTGATCGAAGGATATGAAGCCAGGGAGCCCCTTTTACGGAATTTCTAGACAATTTCTGATCTGCGGCTAGGAGCTTCATCTTGACAATATGTCCGTTTCAAATCGCCAAGGTGTCCTGTTGCGCACTACGTGATCGAATAGGTCTCCAAATCAAATTTCATTCCTTAATTTTCAAAAATAATCGGTGTTTTTGCCTTGGCGGTAATGCTTGCAAAGGCTATCGCAGGAAGTCAGTGGACCCAGCGCTGTATCACTTCCACCTCTTTCAGCTTCATATAAATCTTGTCGCTCTGCTTATTGAGCAACCTTTTATCCGTGAATTCCTTTTCACCGGTGAACAGGAATTACGCAAGACGACTTTTTCGAGTCCGGCATGGCAGCTTTGTGAGCCAACCTTTCCCTTCTGTTTAGCCTGCTGACTGGGGAAATCACTGTCTGATTGTATAAGGGCCTTGTTGTGCAGATCATGCCCTACGATTTTGCGTAAACAGCTTCATGAGATTCATCTATTTAGCCATTTTGTGCTCAGAGTGAACTTCGCTGCTACGCAGACCTACGCCCTGCTCCCTTAACACTCCCCCTAAATATAGCCGCAATGCTCTTAGGTTTACCCCTCCTATCTCCAATTGTTCCCAACCTTCGGAAGCGTTTTATGGTTGAACGTACCACCTGCCTTGTTACACGAAGTCCTCTGTAGATGTACCGTGCCAAAAGAGCTTGTAAATGCAAAGCGATGGTTGATTCACGGTGTTGTGACGCTTGTCCGCATTTTTTTTAAATCTATTAAAAGTTTGGTACTAGATATGAAATAATGTAATCTACCTTGTCAGATGGAAGAAATCGAATGAAATGATATAAGCTCAGAAAAAGTTGGGTACGGGCACCAGCGCGCACTGCCATCATAACTTTCGCCCACTCTGTAGGTATGCTATCGAAGTAATCAAGAATCTATTGATGGATAATAAGCACTTCCCATATCCTTGCTTCGGCATTTGGGTTACGCTGTAAGCCGGGATATACAGCATTTGTAATAGGCGTGACGTTAAAAAAATAGTGCATAAAGACGTGGTGGGACCGAAAACTGATTACAGCACAATGACGTGCAACTGTTCCTCTTAACATCAAAGCTTCGGAAAGCCATGAATCATTGGCAATGTGATCTTGATCACCGACTCTCCTTTGATGACGTCTATAGTGAGTCACCTGCGAAGCTGTCGGGCGCTTCCATGCGACCAATTCTCCCCCTCTCCAGTATTGAAAACGGGCATACTGAAAGGTGCGTGAGTGCTGCTCACCAGGTCTGCGCCCAAGTTAAATTCCTTGTTTTCTTTGCCAAAAAGAATAGTGTTTCACACCTGTGTGACCAATGCTCTTGTGCCTGATTTTTCGAAAATCAGGGCCCATCCCGTGCTAAAGCTGCCTCAAATCCGCGAGAGATGCATAAAAATGTATGCGTTGGATGTAGTCTCGACCACAGTTAGCTGCTATGGCACAAAAGATGCCCTTAACTCGAATTACTTTGACATTAGTTGTCTGCAACATTTATCGAGCTGATCCTCACGTTAAGACGCCGTTTTTACCAAGCATTACTTGCACCTTCAGGCTGTCTTCAATTCTGAACTAGCCGGTTCACGCTAAGCTGTTAACACCACTCATCGAGCGGCATCCCACTGCAAAACCGTTAGAAGGCTGGAAAAGAAAAAGGATTCTGAGAAATTCCACATGAAATGCAACGCATGCAGTACCGTGCGAACTTTTCAGAGTTTTTACACATTTTTTCGGTAACTTCCTGAATTTATCTGTAATTTTTATGTATTTTTATCGCTTTCTTTTTCCCGCAAGGGCAAAAACGCGGCCTTAGCCGCAAGAAAGATTAGTGTCGTTCAAGTAGACAACGTTCTAGGGGGCGCTCTGTGCGAGAGTAGTATGCGAAACTTGACAGCACGAATTCGCCCTCGAAGATCGGCAACGCTCACGGAGGCTATCATCATTTGATAACGATCAAATCAAAACGTTAATCGAACGAATCGGCATATCACTATTCGAGGAATAGGAGAAAGACTTGGTGTTTCGAAATCAATCATCTATGACCATTCGCAGGAACTTGGTTTTGTTAAGCACATTGTTGTTGGACTCACGAATCGAGCGAGCGCAATGTCCTGGACCGCGCCTGCGTGTGCTACTCTTTGCTCGAACAAAACAAAAATGAGCTGTTTCTAAAACGCATGAAAACGGACGGAAACGCTGCCTACTTTGCCCATTTCTCACCTACTTCGTGCGTGCCTCCTTCTCCGCTAGCTCAGAGTGTTCTATATTATTTCGGCACCGCTCACAGCTTCACCTGCGTTTTTATCATTATCAGTTTAATGGCGGACATACAGTCATAAAGCCCCACTTCTATCGCTACCGCGTGACTCACAGCACCTCATTTATTACAAAGGAAGCGTGGCTACAAAGCTCTTCCATTCCTTGCGTTTATAGGTCGATATTTGATTGTCTAGTGGAGAGAAGCGGTAAAAGGGGGAAATTTAAGGGTGGACAAGTATTAACTTCCAACCTCTCCACCTACCTACCACAAACCATTGACTTTTGCTCCACTGCTAACCTCTGTACGCTTAATGTTTGGTCTCTAGAATATTACAGGAAAAATTTCGCGTTTTTTCTTGCCTAATTCAGTTTTCGAATCAACTACAAAATTTTTTTGTATTCCCTTTCAACTACGATCACTTTTATTCCGATGTCTAGGATGTATTCGAGCTGGGTAGTTTAAAATTTGTGCCCATTATAGATTTACCGCCCCGCCCCCCTCCTCTCCATCCTCCTATTATAATCTTACAGTTCTCTTCCACTGCTTCACAGTCCACTACCAGGAACAACCTTCACAGCCCACCTCCCAGGAACAACTGAACTTGGTTTCCCTGCTAGCCTGTATTTATTTTTCCCGACGTTTCTGAATGAAGCAATGAAATTTCGGTTTCATCGCTGTCAACATCTACGCCAGTACCGCATGTCAAGAACATTCCAACACTTTTATTGCACTGTTCTCCGTTCATTTTTTTCCTTGTTTCAGAAGAGAAAAGGGAATAGAAATAGATACGATAGATTTGTGCCTGTTTCCACTAGCTGAGATTATAGAAAGCTTGAGTGGAAGGAAACGATCATAAAATTCCTTATTCTTGGAATTATTCCGGGAAAATAGAAAAGTAGCAGTTGTTAACTAAACAGGCAATCGTCTGAAACCGGTGAAATGCTGAACAACATGATTTATTGAATGCCGAAGCGTCAACAAAAAAGATCAGACTGAATAGCAATTCAGTTTTCCAAACCAGTCACACTGTTGCCAGGCATTTGCATTGCTTTCAGCGTATACTAACAGTTTTGAACAACATAATAAATAGAAACTATTTGCAAACCGATGACAAGTAACACATTATCACAGAAGAATGGAGCAGATAGCAATAAATATTGAACCAATGCAACCACCCAAACTAAGAGAATTTAATCAGAATCCCCGAGGAAGTTATAGAATAATCTGATTCTTATAACTGCAAGAAAGTTCTTTGTATGGTAAAACAACGCAATTTAGCACAATGGTTTCAGGGGCTATCGATACATCAGACCCCAGAATCGTGAGAGATGGATTAAGACGACCGTCCGACAAGAAAAGGGGTTTGTTCTCGAGCTGAAAAGGCAGTTTTAGCTTTCACATACCGAAAAGAAATGAAAACATGATAGCATGAGCATCCTTTCACATCCAACTCGACAATGCAACCAAAAATCGTACTGCGCATCCTTCATCAATAAATAGAATCGTTTTGTCACTTAAACTGTAGAGAAGAAACAAAGTGCGTATGGCGCACAACCTCTTTACTCTTATACATTGGATGGTCTTTCTTGTTTTAGATAGTGCTATCTCTGTAGAGTGAAGATTTACTGAATGAGCCGAGAGCCTAGGATTTTTGAAAACGAAGGCATTTGCTTTGCCACAAAATGAGCGTTAGTCGCTAGGAATTTAGTATTGAATTAAGCGGTTCTAGTAATTACAAAATGAACAGGAAATTGTGCTGTTCAATTATAAATATAGTACCGTCCAATGAAGTATACCTTTTCACTTTTTCAAACATAATTTCCTCATTACACCAAGTTTTCTTCTGCTTTTTGTGCTATGAATGCGTATTAATGAATGTGATAAGGGAGCGAGTTTTAAGTTGTTAATGTAAGATGTGTCATATTTTGAAAGGCTTTATTTCTTTTTTCTGTCAATCACAATAATACCTGTATTATCTTTGTTCTGCCTGAATTTTCAGTTTTTTAACGCAACAACTTGTGTAACAGCAATATAACAACGATGACATCAATACCTTGNNNNTTGAAGGAACTTTTCGTGCTCATTTCCATTTTTCCTGAGGCCTTTAATTCAGCGCTCGAGTCTATAGATGTCAATGGGATTCGAATCAGGGATGGCGACGGCCATGACAGTATAGGAACGCAACCGGTTGGTGAGCAGCTTCGACTTGCACTTCGAATCATTGTTCAACTGGAAAATTAAGCCACTGGGACCAGTACTGCAAATGATCGGCCAGATAACAACCTTCAGAATGTTGAGGCACATCTTGGAATCCTTTTTACCCTCGACACCAAGGAGGGGCCGACTCCTTTGCCTCAGAAGCTTCGGAAACCGGTAACTTCGTGGGATTTGGTACCGATTGGTCGCCGCACAAGATTGAAATAATCCCTCCCGAGCAACAAACTTTCGATGCGTTACTCCAGATGACCCTACACCACAGCTGAATGGTTCCTGTTCCTGTAAGTATGAGCCCAATCGAGAAGCGCTTTGCGATTCTTGGCAGAAATCAGCGGTTTCCTCACCAGACGACGTCCAAATAGAGCGTCCTCACTCAGACGTGGTCATAGATGGGTTCAGTCCCTCGGGCATCGATATTTCGAGAAGAATCTCGGCTAGTACATCCAAATTCCTCTTACGTTGAGCGGATTTTCACTTACGTTAAGTCTCACATGAAACCACCCTCATTACTCCGTTTAGAAAATCGCTTGACAAATTTAGAGAGCAGATTTGTAATCAGCATCCAAAGACACGTCTAGCAGTATTGGTCATATTTCAAATGGCTACTTCGGCTTGGGACCTTTCCCTGGTTAGTTCAGATGATGTTCAAACAGAAATATGCCTCTTTCTACTGTATCACTGCACACATTTACCCGCAGAAATTACCTCACCTTGGCGAAAGGGAGGTTTGGATTTGGTGCGATTGGAATTCCTTCTACTCGAGACCATGCTCCTACAACTGAGCGCCATCCAATAACGGAATGAAGGACACAGGCATGTTCGTGAACCACTGCATCGGCAAGAATTATCGACTCCTGAGAAAGACGGAATAGACGACATCTAATCATAAATAATAAATTCTTTGTATGCCAAAAATATACCTTGATTCTAACACCCTTTCCTATTTTCGCGTTCGGACCGATACTTACATTCGGCCCGATCTTAGCAGATTTATCCACCTAAATTGAAGACGGTAAACATCGTATTCTACTGATTGGCATAATGAGACAATATTTCTCATGCTGTTTTGAGGTATCATAACAATAACCAGTCGTGCCGCCCGGTTTACGTCAGGCTGCCCTCCTTTTCATATTGAGGTGGGCCTGCCGCTTGCAATCATCAGAACTTAGATGTTCTGGCACGGAAGATCAGGAGTTAGGAATTTGCTAAAACACACCCCGACGTACATTAAGAGCGCCCAACCTGTCATGAATAGAGTCCTGCTCAAGTCATGATGTGTGTTTAAGTAAGTTGGTCCATTCCTCACTGTTTCAGTGCATTGCAGCCTGCATCCTTCTGAATTTGGACGCTCTACTAGAGAAGAAATTTTGCTCTCACTCTCCTCCCTTTAGTAGAGTCTAATAACTACCACCAATGTCCCTACCCTGGCGCCTGCACCCCTTCCAAATTTGCACGCCTGAGCCCAAAAAAAAGCAATTTCCGTGCACGCCAACCCGACATACACACATACACACACACATTGACTTACACAGACACTGCCCCACACAAAAACACTGATAAATCAACACACACATAGTGTATTTAATAGAGTAAGATTCTGCACTGTTTTATGTGTCAACTCGATTCACCTGAATATCCGCCTACACATGGACTATGAAACTGTCGGGAGGAAAGCGAGGCGACATGTCCTACTCTGCTGTAAGGAGATTCGGGAAGAGTGTGATGTTCAATTAGATAATAGAGCTTTCTTTCTAATCTTCTCGAAAAACACGAGTCTCACGTTTACCGGACATTCATTGGATCCCAACACTACCGTTGCATCGAACTGAGTGCATTGTGTTTAATGCTCGCAAATGCTACATATGTGCAGTGACGTCAAAGCTTGAAGGGCTCCGTTCTTCTACACAAAACGCTCGCTTATACATATAGGAGATGACACTACTGCCAACGTGTTCAAAAGTAAGAGGTTCTGTCTCACCAATTGAGATCGCCAGATATTTCGTCAAACGGCTAACTTTTTGAGGCATCTGGTCAACCGCTTGAGAGATTAGAACATTGAAAATCAAGGTGGTGCCGAAAACAGCTTGATTTCCGATGTTCTAGTCTCTCAAGCGGTTGATCAGATGTTTGAGTTCCGGGACTATCAATCCCAAAATTAAGTCCACTTAACAGGAGAATAGTGACGTCCTACACTGTTCCGCACAATCATACGTCCACCCATGAATTGCCCAATAACTCGTGACTCTTACTGTTTCTGGAAAAGTCTCCAATTGAAAGTTGGGACAAGTATCAATCGAAGTTTTCAACGACACCGAATTTCACATAATAAAGTGCTATTTCTTGCCGACAATTTTTTGAAAAAGTCTGACTGGGCTATTCCGTAAAAAGTTCCGTCCACCTAACAGAACATTCAATTCAGCAACGAGAGATCAACGGAAATGACAAATTACAAATTTAATATCTCATGGCCCTCCATTCCTTCCAATAAGTTGGAAGATGCGATTGTCCACACTTGCACAAAGATTTTTAATAAGTCTTTGGTCAAGTTGGTGCCATGCTTTGATGATGGCTTCTTTGAGCTCCTCGACGCCTCGAAACAGGCGGTTATTGGCGTATATCTTACTCACCATGAATCCCCATACATTTTCCATTGTATTGGGGTCAGGACTCATCGCGGGCTAAGGCAGAGGGACAACTCGATGACGCCTAAACACGCTCGGATGCTTTGGCTGACATGTATCGGGACGTTACCTTGCATAAAAACAAAGTTTTGCAGCCGGTTCTGGCACCAAAACGGAAGGAGTGCATGGTAACCAGATAGGGAGGAATTCATTTTTCCAGTATGAAGCATAATTTCGGTCGCCCTTACTACAGGATTGCATCCCAAATTATCAGCCGCCCCCATGAAGTTTCGTCTCGAAAAAACAGATTCTCCGTTTCGACATGGTGCAAGTAGAATTGATTGCCTTCCAGTACACCGAAATTCGTTCAATAAAAACAAAGCATAACCCAAAGAGAAAACCACC